ATTTGGGTTCACTTGCATGTCCTATGACTGGTGTATTCACCTTCGAGCCAACTTTGACCCGGAGCTCCCAAATTTTTTTACGTAGTCCGTGGAAACTTCCATATGATTATCCACCAACCCTTCAAGCCAAAGCTGTACATTTTTTGCCCAGAGTGCTGTCATTCGCATCCTTCGTCGTTGTCTGCTACTTCCAGGTGGCGTCCCAAAACAGTGGTACTAACAATGCACTATCAAGTTGCGACTTTCAATTTTCATAGGGTAAAACATGCGACCACATACCGATTTTAGGGATACCTGAGCTGAAATTCAGTGCGCTGGTCCAAGCCGGCATCAAGGCATGACCAATTCGGGAACCATCACACAGTCACAAATGTGCGCCCCACGAAGAGACCAGTCAATATGCGGCGACAGTGGTTACTCTTATGCACACATGTTTGAGAAGAATATGCAGATCCCCACCACATACCACAACACTCGTTGTCCTTGGGTAAGCGGTCTCTTGGACACCAGCAGCTACCATATCAGTTGAAGGTTTGGGCAAGAACTGCAAGTTAGTAAGCGTAGATTCATCACATGTCGATGTTAATATAATTATATTTCACCATCGAAAGTCATGGATTTAGGTGTCTGAAAACAAAAAAATATGCGCGAGTAGTAATCCAGCAAACCACGTTTGGGCGCATGCGTCCTCCCGGAATTTTTCAGGCGCGATGTTACGATATATGCACCTTGTCCTCATGAAGAAGTAACTGAGTGTGCCAAACACATTGTGTATTGTATGATTGAGGCGGGAAGTAATGCAGTCGCTTATAGAGCACACCATTGATGTCTTTCAAACAGTTGTTAATCCCGTTGACAGAGTGGATCATGCTGGACTCTTTCAGGGCATCCCGCTCAAAAGTAAACAATCGACTATGAGATAATAGAAATTGTGGTTTTGTGCTGTGTAATATGACGGAACCCGCATACCCCCAAGTTTATTAAAATAATACCTCCTATGCAGCATTTTCTAAACAAATCTTACGGTAAAATTTGTGTCGATTGATGGCAGTAGGTGTCCGTTGCCGAAGGTCACAGATACAAAAGGCAACAGACGTGCATTATCATGGCCTCGGTATTACAGAAAGGCGCAGTGCGACATAACTCGGGCTGCTTGCATCTGGATTCACCGATTGGTACCAAGAATTGAGGCTCACGGCCAAGTTTCCGCTGTCGGGGTTGTTACTGTCCTTTGGCAGCTTCCCTTCATCTGGAAAGCGCAGGCGAAGTGAGACGGTAAGTGCTTGCCAGCGCAAGGACTCATGTAAAAAGCATTCAAGCGCGCTTTGAACTGTGCACTAGATTCAGATTGAAACACATTACGAGGGAGGTTATTCCACGCACCAACCACCCGAAGTGAGAAAATGTTCCTTATTAAGAAATGGGCGATCTGAGCTCAACGGTCTATTTGTCATGCCCCACCGCGTAAAGTTGGGTTGACCGTGGAATGTCTGTTGTCCAAACTTTCTTCAAACAGGGCATAAGTACAAATTACATCTCTCGGAGGCGACGATGCTTCCGGGGATGAGGTCAAGCACCACGAGACGCGTTTTATAGTCCACGTATTTCAGACCAGAAGTCATTTTCATGGAAGCTCTTCAAACGCATTCAATGAGGATTATGTCCATGTTGTGCCTTGAGTGGAAAACTTGGTCGGTATATTCCAGAGTCGCCCTGGCGTGGGCCCAAAAAGGTATTTGAAAGTTCACGCGAATGGAACAAAAGGTGCGCCAAATCACCTGTAGAACGGTGAATTCTCTTGAAAGGGACACGTTTGAAGAGAGTCAGATAGTTTTATTCGGCTTGGCAGCAATCCTCGCGACGCCTCCTGGTCCATTCTCATCAGCCGGGACAAAAGCTTTTACTGTAACTCCTACGAACGACATAAGGACACACATTTTGTCGTCCAGAAGAAGGTGCCAGTCGAACAATCACTGATTTTCAGTGCCTAAATTTAATTGAAGGGGCACCGGCGTTGAAACTTCAAGGTTTTAAGTCATCCGCAAGAGTATAATTAGAATCGACAGGACGTCTGGAAGGTTTTAACGTTTATAAGAAACAGTAGTGGTCCCAAAATTGATCCTTGAGGAACCTCGAGGTGGGTGGCGCCGGAGAAGCATAGGTGAAGCCAGCTTTCATTTGGAATCTTCGCTTTGCTAATACCACCTTAAACCGGTGTAGATTTTTTCTTTAAATCCGATAAGACCCGAGTTTGTAAATCAGCGGGACGTTCGGAGCTCGGTGGAATGATTTCGGGACATCCGGTGTTAGTCAGCGTTCCTCAACTTGGTTTAAGATCCCCATAAATGGTGCCGTGTTTGTCTCGAAAGAAAGTAGGAATCCGTGGTGATGGTTGATTTTGGTAAAGTGGTCTAGGATGACCTGCCTCAAAATGCGTTCCAATGCCTTACACGGTACGCTAGTTAGACTTTCGGCTGACAGAACATATTCGATCACCAGTTTTCTGGGTCGCTGTGACAGTCGCTGCTTTCGAAACAGGGGAAGGTAGCATTCGTCAAGCGGCTGACGAAATATCAGGTAGAACTGCGTTGCAAGTGTGAACGAGTTTTCCTTCGAGACAATTGGATGGACATCCCCTGGATCCAACGTGCAGAATGGGTTTTATCTCATCCTACCCCGCGAAGAATAAATCGGTTAGAGGCGGCTGGTAGTTATGCCTTAAGAAGATTGAATGTGCTGGGGCAAAACACGGGCCTTCATATTGTTCTCTGTAGACTTCGGATACCGCTTTTATGTCACTTGTGGGTTCTCGGTTCTTGTTCCTCAAGGAGAACACGGTTGACTTACGTCTGCGGCTGTTTTATGTACTAAAACGGCACACTGATCTTTCAGGCGAGGTCTAGTATGGTTGCATGTTTTCTTATATTCCATCGGCTGGTTTCTGACTTACAGCGCTTCTGCATTTTACGAAACGCCAGGCCATCTTCTGCGTTTCTACAATCAACGTTTTGGAAAATAGTTCAGATATCTAGGGAACGACAAACCCCCTAAGGTATCTTGTAGCTACCCAACTGTATGTGGTTTTTTGGGACGCACATCGCGTCAGCTTCGTGAGGTTTCTGGGCAATAGTCCTGTATAACTCTTTTGCGGAAGCTTATCTTAGCCGAAATTGATCAAAAGGGATGTGCATGCCTGAAAAGTCTGTACTTCAGAGGTTTTGAATCTATATTTGAGGTTCGGGAGTTCCGGCACAATACCACATAAAAGTAAGGGTGAGAACACAGCGCTAATTAACACCTGTTTAGCGAAGTGACTTTCGTTCGATTCTGGTAGTTCAAATGCATCATCAAAGCGAAAGCATCCAAAACCCAGTATGAATCTTCAAGCCATCACCTACACCCGCTTATGACTGAAACAAATGAAGCGAGCACCCTCGAAGTCCCTCGTGTGCAAAGCGATAATGACAAGGTTCTATGGATTTTTGCTGACAATTCCCAGTCACGCAAATGCTCTATCCCTCAGCGAAGACATCGGGAAGAGCCCTCTAGAAAATAGGGGCCCACATAGCCGCCTGATTCTTACATTCCGTGCCCACCAGAAAGGCCATTATCTAAGTTTTCACTCCGATTTACAGCACTGGTGTTGGTGTATGCAAACTCAGTGGAGGCTCAGTTGAGGACGAAGTCCACATCCAACCTCGCCAAAAGCTATTCATTTAACCAGCCCTTTTCCAACTCTAAAATATTCTCTCAGTCAATTCCAACCGTACTGCTGATTTATAGGAAAAATAAATATGCCATTCCCGAATTGCGTCGTTAACTGTTTGCACCCAGATCCCTTATACACGCCACATATCGTAGCCGTTGCGGTACCTCACTATGCCTTCAATTGTTTCGGGTTGGCAATAGACAATAGGCAAACATAGATGGGGTTTCCAGGAGTCTAACTTTCTAAAGGTTGACAGATGGCACCGCGACTTCTAAATACCTGCCAAAATCTAAGTTTAATCTTGTTTGTTGCCAAATTTCAAGGTGCATTGCTTTGTGTTTCGCCCTGTTGGACACTAAATATCACGCCATGCAACCCATACTGATGAGGGACTGCCATCTCTCAGCTCTCTGCCGGAAACTACCAACAGCAGAGAACAACCTCCGATCCGAAGGTACGGGCCCGTGCCTACCTACTGGTGTTACCTCCTGTTGGGTCTAGAGTAACCTATTGGATCTTCTAGATACGATGCAAGGTTGACCGACGATTGCTCGGCTGGGAAATGAAGCAGCTTATAAGGGACCTATGGCTACTTTCCACATCGACTAACTGGACTAACGAACGCCACATATTTCAATTACTGAATGCACTCCTGGATTCTCATCTTAATGGGATTGGATTGATCAGTTTTCCAATATTTGGCCTTCACGCGTATTTGAAATGTATTCGGAAAAGTTACGCCCTGAGGGTATATGTGGCAGGAGACTAATCAGCAATCTGATTGGTTGCAGGTGGACCTGGGTTAATATGACGCGCCCTTTGACCTCTGGCAAGAGCGGATCTAGAAATGATTTAAATGAAACACAACTGTGGTAACCCACTTATTTCGACAGTTCGTATACTCTTCGAGTGGAAAACTGTCAATACAGAATGATCTTGAAACTGACAGAGTGGGAAATGAAATCATTAAAACCGCTGATGTTGAATTCAGTGTTTCTAGCATCAAAACGCGTCCACATTCCTCAAACTCGAACCATGAGAACTTTCTTGCAGTTTTGAGCCACTTTTGACAGTTGCAAACGCTCCTGCTCTCTGATCCATCTAGTAATAAGTCGTTAAACAAAACCTAATTCGACTTCGGCATGCGAGGCTAGCTTAGGAAAAAAACTGCATTTAATAACCATCACTTAATAAAACATCGTCAGGCAACTTCCGCGTTCCATATTGCTTCGATGCTCACCGGGCTTCTAGTAGCACCAAAAGTAACTGGCCAATCAACTATGGGTTATCAGTTTTGTCCAATGCTAACTATGGTCCGCGAAATAGAGTGAGTCTTATCGGTTGCCCGACCACTATCAAGCATTCCGCCTCATTATCTGCTACTTAGGTTTGGACAGTCCCATAATACGATCTCAAGCCATCAAGATGTATGGGGATGTGAAGTACGATCTTTCAGATCCCACCTAACATTTATTTGCCAATGGACGACCCTATTCCACAGACTCCCGTATTTGAATGGAGGCCTTATCGTTTGGATCACTACTGATCCAGCTGAAAAGATATAGGCCGATTATCTTGAATTTTAGAATATCTTTAAATATTACTAGAGCTTACTTCTTAGCCGTGTGTAGTTGGGTTGAATTCCCTGGAAAGCATCTTTCATCGTCAAGGTTTTTGAGAGGTTCCCAATTCAATTTGCCCAGTGAGCTGAACCCGTTCTGTGTGGTTAACATAAACAGCGATCATCGCTTATGTGAATAACTTGGTTGTTAACAATGCCAGTTGGCCTTAGTAGCTTTCGTCTGATGCACGGTGATCATAAGAGATCTACAAGCCCGTTCAACTGAACAGCACAGCTCCCAGACTATTTTGAGACGCTTCGGTAGAAACCCAAGGCGGTTGACAGTTACATAGGTGGCATTTAAGCTGTTCGTCAAGCTTGGCTATTGGCCTGCAAACGTTTGGTCAACATGTTAGGAGACTGTTCGTCAGAGGTTCACTCACTGTCCAATCCGGTATGTCGAAGTGAAGCCCTTCAGTACACCTCATTGGGCCATGTAGGTACACAAATCGCCACAGTGCGATAAGGCCCAGTTTGTTGATGCGATTAAATAAACTCTTCGTTTAGTAATGTATGAGTGCTAGTGCTATCTTCGGTGATGATGGTGATGAAGACGTTGATAAGTACATTGTGCAGGGTTGGTACGGCCGTCATGAAAATGAGACCTAAGATCAATGACCGTACTGTTTTATGATGGTAGTTGATGTTGTGTTGAAGAGGACACCTCACGGGCCTGCCGCCTCAGGGCGGAGGTGACAATTTAACTTCTTATCACTTCACGAAGGTTAATCGTGACTAAACTCGGATCTTATTTCACCGATTTGGGGATTCAACGGGACCGCCCGCGAAGTTGCATCTACCTGTCCCAGATCGCCATTTGGAATTTAATTTGGTTTACACACTTCTGAACTTCATGTTATCTCCTAAGGATCTACTGTTTATGCGGTATCCTTAACTACTTGAATCACTGCACTCCCCCATGTTGGTGGAACTAGATGTTGAGACCGCGATCTGAGGTGCCCTCAGGATCTTCGTCACCGATGTCCCAAGCGTTGCTGGTGTCGGATAAGTTCGACAAGTTGCTGATCAGTTAATTTTAGGATTGCGATCAGTTGTGCAGCGAGCACTTCGTTCGCGGGGAAAAACCCAGTGTCGTCAATTGTGTTCGCACCGATCATACGCTACGCGTGTTTTTTTACCGTTCCTCCTCCCGAATGGCTCAAGCTGCGAGATGAAATTCGTGTGTTCAAGGAGAACGGTGGGGAGATTATAAAACAGCATCTAAGGCAGGGTAAATATGCCTAAAGCACACTTAGTGCCCTTGGGCTAAGGTTTGTGTTTTGCCGTAAGACGACAAAAAGTCAACGACGCCAATCGCCGCGTTACAACGGTAGCCATATTGATTTCTCATTCCTTGCAAGCACCCACTCTGAACATATCCCTAGCAATTGAGGGGGATCACTGCACGCTATGGAGACTTTTACATACCCCGGTAGTGTTATTAGCCCTGACATCGACAGCATGATATCAGTGTTCAACACCAATGCTTCGCTACCGTACACTCATGATTTATTTGAAAGCCTTGTCGTGAAGAAAAGAATAAAGGTGGACGGGGAATGTACTTAATGCTAGCTTACTACAATCATTCCGAATCATCACAACTCCAAGCAATGTGGATAGAAACTGACAACAAGATCGCCACTGACATCGGTTGGCAGCGTCTCCAAGCAGGCGCAGTGAGGATCACATACTCCCCATCCTGGAAAGCGAGTGGCACAGACAGCACTCAAACTTTTCGTGATTTCTCTCCCACCCCTCTGCCAGCTGAAGGGTTGGTCACTTCTCTGCCTCCGCCACTCTGGATTGGGCATGGAAAACAGCACGCTCTTCGGCAAACGATGGCTAGGCATACGCTACGCGTCCCAACCAACGCAGCTTCTGGTGCTGGACACATTCTTCAGCAGAAGTCCCCGTTACACAGCCGAAAACTCGGTTTCTAATTGCATCGTTACGGATGCACTGACACCAACCCACACAAGCTGTGGTCCTGAGACAGCGATTGTCGAACATATGAAGACGTCTCAGTTCCGCTGCTCAAACAGGCCGAGTGTCACAGCCATACAACAGGTTAACCCGTACTGTAGCTTGATGGACACGCCCCTTGAGGTTCAGGGATATATCGCTTTGACGCTATAGGTATCACGAATTAGGAAACACGACTCGGGCCTTGGAGATTCGTGCATTGATCTCATCTGTCCCACTACAATTAAAACCAATACAACTTTCAGGGTACGTAAAATGCGCCACAAGTTCGAGTGCCTCTCCCTGGATTGCAAGTGGTGTGTTCAGCGACTGCCCGTCCAGGAGCGTGACCTTACACTTTGTGGGTGCAAATTCCATACCAAAGGACGGGATGACTTTGATCAGTTCATCCAAAAACACGTGCGCCTTCTCCTTTTCGAAGATGAGAATGATGTCGTCTGCATATTCCAGATCGACAAGGTCTTCGTCACAAGCTATTTGAACAGCTGGGTTTTGGATACCTTCCAGCGTTCGTCTCATGATTTCATCGATCACGAAATTAAACAGCAATAAGGAGAGTGTGCATTCCTGACGGACACCACTTTGTGTACGTAAGTTTTTGGAGAGCTCACCGTATACTCACACGTCCGGAAGTTGGGGGATACAAAGAAGTTCCTGGGCATTCCTTGGTGGGCAAGTGTTCCAAGAAGCGCAGACCGGTCAACCGAGTCGAATGTTCCTTGGAAATCCAGGAACACTAGAATTCGGGGTCTTTTATACGTGCGGTGTTGTTCTAGCACCTGATGGAGTGTGAAAGGTTTGTCAACGCAACTCCTTCCAAGCTGAAATCTCGCTTGCTGCTCTCGTGTTAGTGTTTCGCGAGCCACCGTTAGGTGACAAAGCACTAGTGGCGCCAACAGTCTCGTTACGACCGGGGTCTTCCTGATCCCTCCGTGGTGGCCACACACACTACGAGTCCTTTTTTTTTGAAAATGGCGCTATCACTAAATGCCCCCAGTTGCCTGGGACAGACTTCTTTTCCCTGGTGCAAGCAACAGATCAGACAAGCGCTGACCGAGGACTTCACCTCCATCTTTGAACAGTGCGGGCGGGAGGTCATCCGAACCAGAGGTTCGGTGGCGCTTGAAAGAACAAATGCAGCCGTAAACCTCCGAGGTTGTATGCGGTTCCATGTTCACCGTCCAGGGTTCTACGTCACCAGATGGTTGCCAGCTGGTCACCAAGACAACTGTTCATCGAAGTATTTGGCCCAACAGTCGGAGGGTTCTTTCCTTCAATGCTACCAAATTTCCGAACAACCTGAACATATCATCTTCCCCAAGGTTTGGCGGTATGCGCCACACTGTAGTTTCCCAATCATCGCAATTGTGGCAGCTAGAACACCGGTGTATTGCTGGCAAATTGAATTGATTTGATAGCTAAAGACATCGCAAGAAGTGGTGGATGACCGATATCAGTGATATTCATACTGTCACTTTGTTTGCAGATTGACTGAGCTCTTGGAAGTGTAGGCACCTCAGAATGCCTGACAGGTCAGCACTGTGTCCCCTCCCTCATCCTCTCTTTTTCTCTTCTTTTCACTTGAAGGCTTTAAAGACACTAAAATGAACTTCATGGTTTTACGACAGTGACGCATCAATGTAAATAGTGATGTTGCTGTCTCTGGTGGTGATGCTAATGACCCACTTTGAAGATGGACACTTTTATCAACTCAACGTTTGCCTGAGATGGCCTGTTTTTCCTAAGTGGGTGTAAATAAGTTAGACAGGCACTCACTTGGGATTTCACCAATGTCTTTGGATGAGACAGGTTGGAAATCGTCTAGAGCACAAGTGTTCGTTACCATCCCCTCAACGTTTATCTTCGACCACTTTACCAGAGTTTGGTTACCATCATTTCAACGTTTATTTCAGAAGAGCTTGGTAAACAATCGGTA